CTCTTGTATCACTCTATCGATTGGTGAAAACGCCATTAAAATTAAATGCAAAACAATTTTTTTTAAAAAGTGGCATTAAAAAATACATAGGATCCAAAATTTTTACCTTTCTAGCACCAACTCCTATTTTTTAATAGCGATTTTTATTTATATGGCAAAACAAATTTTATGGCGTCAACTAGTAATTTATATACTGCTGTATATAAATTACTAGTTGCTGTGTTATCTACTAATGCTGTGTTATTACCGCTGTATCATCATTGTCGTTGTGAAGTGTGCTGTAATATATTATTTAATTATTAACCGGGTCTTAACACGAATAATTTTATATCAAATAAAGACAGTCAGCTCGTGACCACGGCTAGTGCAACCTAGTCGAAACGTCGAGAGAGGTAAATACCTTTATTTGCCATAAAATTATTCGTGTTAAGACCCGGTTAATAATTTAAATAATGTATATTAAACACGAAAGTTTAAAATTAACTGTGCTGTAATAAACCTCTTTCTATTCTATTCTATTTTCTAATAGCAAACATATACTCACATTGTCGTGTTTGTTAAGGAGCTCTACCATCAGCTTGTTGGCGCGCAGACTCTTGTTCCTGAAGCTGTGGCAGCTGAGAAGACGGTGCGCGCACTCACCACACAGTTTCCTTGGCAGGCGGTCCTCTTCGCATATCTGGAGTCCAAGATTCAAAATAAGATGCGATATATTTTGTGAATACTACAAAAAATAAAACAATTACAGACGAGTTTCTTGCATTTATTATAATTTATACATAGAAATGAAATTGGAGTGTCTGTTTGTAATATTGAAATAACCATTTTTATTTACATGCATATGAATATAAATACGGTACATAGACCAAAATAACATTTTTTTAAATTTTTGTGTGCGTGCGTGCGTGCGTGTGTGCATGCGTGCGTGCGTGCGTGCGTGCGTGCGTGCGTGCATACGTGCCTGTGTGTATGTGTGTGTGTGCTGGTTTTTTAATCTACACTTACGGGCCGAAACCAAGTGAGTGTGTGTGTGTGTGAGTGTGTTATTATTATTTTATTATTATTGGGTAATCACCGTCAATCCAGTCACATATTGATACGCCTGCACCAACTTGTATTTCTTCATTGGGAATAACTTGGTGGTCATCTCTAAGCAGATTCTGCAGACCTGTAAAATAAACATTTATCCTTTTTTCTCTATTTCCCCAGATTGATATCCCATTGAATCAAAAAGGGAAATCGAAATTACGACGGCTTGCGTCGAAGTTCGAAGTCTTAGAGTAAAGTTGAATCCGTTAAGCAGAAGTTTACCTTCAGCCGCTCCATAAGTCGTTCCCGCTCTTTTGAGAACTCAATAAGGGGCTTTCCATAGCCTCTAGACACCTGATACACCAAGGGTGTCTCAGGGGGTGATACACGTTCACGTTGCCGACCCTTAAGAAATCTTAATATAGGGTATACTTAATATAACCGAGCGGGGGTGACGAGCGCGGGGGCAGTCCCACCCCACCACACTAGGCCCGAAGAAGTGCGCGCCTTCCCCAAGGGAAGATGGGGGAAGTGGTGGGTTCCAAAGGGAACCCGCAGAGACGGGGCCCGCTGTAGAGTGGGCCACCGCTGTCGGAGTCGCGGTGCACTGAATCCGATCCCGCGACTCCGGCATATGGCGTCGAATGAGGAACATCTTGGAGTTTTTAGTGAGTAGGAGTCTCACAGTACTCGTGGGCTTCCCCCGGGGCCGGCGAGTCTCCATGAGGGATTTTCTCCAAGTAAAAAAAAAGGGGTATACTTAATATAGTGTGTGGCTTGAACCCCATGCTGTACATTACATATATAAACTAGCAGACCCTGCCACGCGTTGCTGTAGCTAAGGTTCTTAGATAAAATAATATTGCGACTATAAATAGAGATGTAGCCTATGCTATCTTTCAGTTGGATCAAATTGCACACAAATCAAATGTGCAATCAGTGGTTTAGGAGTCAATCGCGGAAAAACAACATGACGTTTTTATATATAAAAAACGTTTTTATATATAAAAATATATATAAATTACATGTATAACCTATGAATAATAATAAATCTCACCTTCAAACCAGATGTTTTTCCATAATCACCATTGCTTGAATCCTAGAAAAAAATATATAGTTATGAATCTATATATCAGTATTATAAATGCGAAAGTTTGTAAGTATGGATAGATGTTTGTTACTCTTTCACGCAAAAACTGCTGAACGGATCTGGATGAAACTTTACAGTAATATAGCTTATAAATCATGAGAATGACACAGGCTAAAATTTGAAAGGATATTATGTAAATTGGGCGAAATATAATGATAAGTGTAATGCAGACGTAGTTGCGTGGGTCAGCTATTATAATATATTTATATTTTGCTTCACTAAAACAATAATATAATAGTCGCTATATTATTTATAGTTTTATACAAAAATAGAAATAGAAATAATCTTTATTCAAATAAACTTAATATAAGCACTTTTGAATAGTCAAGTTTTTTTATTCTACCGCTTATTCAGAATGCAGATTCATTACAAGAAGAATAAGCAAGATTTGTGTGTGTTGCTCTTTTAAATAAATATTGATTTAATTATTTTTAATTAACAACAAGGATTACGCATGCGACAATCAACATAGAAACCGCTATGCACTTATTCTCTGATTAAACCCTAAAATTCAAAGAAATATAAAAATTGTCACCTGTACAATGATAGGTACAGCACCAGCTCGGACCTTCCTCAGGCCACTCTTGGTCTCGTACAGGTCTTCACAGAGGAAGTGTTCGGAGCAGACTGCGCTCCTCTCCTTCGGTTCCCAGTGCTGCTTGCCGACTGCCTGCAGCCAAGCAGTCCGCAATGTACTCTCGTAGGGGAATCTATAAAAAGATGGAATGCATAATAGAATAATATGCAATCTATACATATAAATAAAAATGGAGTCTCTGTTTGTAATATTGAAACAACCTTTTTACTACATGCATATGAATATAAATATGGAACATACACCAAAATAACATTTTTTACAATTTTTGTCTGTCTGTCTGTTTGTTCCGGTTAATCTCTGAAATGGCTGAACCGATTTTGACGGGACTTTTATTGGCAGGTAGCTGATGTAATAAGGAGTAACTTAGCCTAAGTTACTTTTATTTTAGAAAATTAATATTAAAATTCCATGCAGACGAATTCGCAGGTATGGCTAGTTTATAATATAAGGTAATATAGTGAAAACGAATAGAAATTTTAATACCACTCCTTTAAACTTCATATTCTCTAATATAAACTGTAAAAGAGATGACGACCTCAATTGTCTAGTGGTTTAGCACAGTGCTTTACTTCCGATGGTTGTGGGTTGGACTCTTTACATGGTGCAAACATTTGTATTCATGAGTATGATTGTTTGTATCATTCTGTATAATGTTTGTATCGTTTTCTATGTATAATATGTATGTATTTATAAATAAAATTATCTATGGATTTACATCAGTTGTTTAGTACCCATAACACAAGCTCTGCTCACCGTGGAACTAGATGGCGCTGTGTTAATTGTCCAGTGTTATTTATTTATTTATATCAGTTGTCTAGTAGACATAACACAAGCTCTGCTTGTGTAGGACTAGATGGCGAATGTTAATTGTCTAGGATTATTTATTACAGAATAATAATAATACCCCAGGACAATTCATACAACAAGATCTAGTCCCAAGTTAAGCAGAGTTTGTGTTATGAATAGTAGACAACTATTATAGATACTTCGAAAATAAATAAAAACATTCATAATATACATAGAAAACACACAGACCAATAGAAACAACCATACTTATGGATACTAATGTTTGTACTCTGCGAGAAATCAAACCCGCAACCATCGGAAGTAAAGCTAAACCGCTAGACCACCGAGGCCGTCGAAGAATAAGAGGCATAACATCTTAGTTCTCTAGATTGGCAATGCATGATTGCAGGGCTGTCACATGATAACGTGACACCCACAGTACTATGTATATAGGCGACGCTTACATCCGGTGGGCAGTCTATTTGCAATTCCAATTATAAAAGTAACTTATAAAACTGTTTCTCTTTCATCAAAATCAAGATAAAAATATATATTCGTCCATATATATATCTATGGACGAATAAACAATTCTTTAATAAAAATCACGATAAAAATATGTACTAAATATCTATGGACGAATAAAACTTACATATGAAACGTAATGCCCTGAGATTTGGAAATATATCTAGAATCGTTCTTACAACCCGGCACTGAACACCTCATTCTTAAAAGCAAAACAAATTTCACACACAGCTATATTAAAATAAATAGATACTCATATATTTACAGTAAATACAGATATTGTTTGCATTATTTGCATATGTTTATAAAGTAAATACTTCATTTAATATTGTAAATTATAATAATATAAAACATAATATAGGAGTCAATACATTTTTTATGTTTATTTTTTACTGAAATTGAAGTATGCACCGATTACACAAATTGATCGGTTCTGGCTGTCAAGCTATCAGTGTATGTCAGTCAGTAAGTCATTTCCTCCTTTTTATTTAAATGTGCTAAAAGTCCTTTAATTCATTCATAGCTTTAAATAAATTATATTCAATGTATATGTACAGAAATACTTGTAATGATTTATAATGAAAACAAATCTTACTTAAAGCTAAGATATAAAGTAATAAGTCACTTTTACTATTACACTTTCAATGAACGCATTCATAATATTTTTTTAATAATTTGTCTGTGGTTATCTGTATCTGAAAAATTGTTTAAAAATGGCGAGTGTTATTGCTCCTAAATATTTTTATGTTATTTACAAATACTCAAAATTTATAATATAATAATTATTTTACTCTGTATATTTTGGTATATTAGATATAATTATTACTTTTAGTATGCATATCAGTGTAAACCGCAATATTTAAATGTGTTATTACAATTTTTCGCGTAAATCTAATTAGCTGGTATTTATTATTGTTTATTTCTAAATTCTTTATTATTCTGAGTGAATAATATAACGAAAATGAGGTGTTGCGTTCAATTCTGTACCAATGATACGAAACGGATGACAAAGAGCCAAGGAATCACTTTCCACTTGTAAGTTTCAATAATTATTTCAAACCTACGAATATTGTAAACATGGAAGTTAGTAAGAATAGATCGATGTTTGATAGTCTTTTACCCAAAAACTACGGGACGGATTCGAATGAATTATGGTACACAGATAGATCATATGTTATATTAACAAATAAGATACTTTCTTACCGGAATTCACGCAGGCAACGCCGCGTAATACTTTGTAATTAATTCAATCATTATAAATATAATATAATCAACATGTAATTATTTCTTTCGTTATTTTAAAATAGAACTGCCCATTAGTATCACGTGGGTCGTCAGTTTAGTTTATATTTAAGTTATAAAAACCACTATTTACTCATTTATATCTTCCAATTTTATTATTGGTAAAAAAATTGAATTATCAACAGATATCGTTAGTATGTCTGCACTAACGGTATACACTGGCAGGCTACTAGTGGAAGACCATTCATAATTTAAGAGCCACACTCTTGTCGGTGGTATACATTAGTAGGGCACCAGTGGAAGATCATTCATAATATAGGAACTGCACTCTTGTCGGTGCCACTCTTTTTTTTTCCACAACCTTCCATCAATCCCTTCAGTTGTTGTTATGACCCAACACCAACTATTCCTTATTCTGCTTAATGTAGCTGTGCCTTGGTCTTTGGTTGGAAGACCATAGGATGAAATAGAAATAGAAAATTTGTCATTCAAATAAAGTTCAATTTAAGCATTTTTGAATAGTCATAATTACTTATTTTTTATCTACTTCCCATGCAGATAGCTAACTGAAAAAATAAGCCCATATACTGTTCTCTGGATTAATTATGTGTAAGCCAGGTCCATCATGTAACAGAGAAGGATACTTCAAGCAGGTCCCAGAACTTCTGATCCAGGTGTAGGTTTAAGAGGTCATTTTGCCAACTTAAGTATTTTTATATGTTACATGTATTGATAAATACATATGTCAAAGAATAAACAAAATATGTGTTTCTTTTTTCATATAGATATCATGGGTCAGCCCACCAAGCCTTTAACAGATTTTTGTGGGAATCTTTTGACAGCAGAAATTAATGCTAAGTCCATTTACTCTTTTAGCTCATTAGTGAATAAAATCCCATGCATGATATCCTTTTCCAGGTTTCCGAAAGAAGCTAATCTTCGCACTGCATGGATAGAAGCACTGAATATGAAGGACTGGGAGCCAAAAGAGAGGAGTTCAGTCTGTTCAGAACACTTCCATAAAGATGACTTCTACGACACAAAGTGTGGTCTCCGTAAAATCAAGAATGGGGCTGTTCCAGTAGTTGCTCAAGTGAGATTCTGTTATTCTATTAACAATGTCCATATACATTCTATCATGAGGCTATAAAAACCATCACACGTAAGAATATCCTTCAGTTTTTGTACCTCACGGGTCTAGGCAGCGAACTTTGAAAAAGGGTGATCATAATAGATCTATGTAGGTTGCAGTGGACCTGCATAGACAACCAACAATAAAAAAAATCTATTAGAGATAATGTAGTGACCATCAGCATATCCTATTGGATCAGAAAGAACCTAATCAGTCACCCTAATTTATGTTTTTTCATTACTTCTGCTGTTATGAGGAATTGTAATGAATTAATAGATAAAACTTCTTATTTCAGGTGTGCAGGATATGTTTGGAAGTCAATGTGAAAATGTATCACTTATCAGATAGTAATTTGGATGATACATTCCAGCAAATTACTGGAATAACGGTTGGTATCATTATAGTATAAATAAAGTTGCTGTCACTGTCTGTCTGTCCCTATGTATGCTTAAATCTTTTAAACTACGCAACGGATTTTGAAGCAGTTTTTATAATAGATAGTGATACTAGGCAATGGATTTTGAAGCGGTTTTTTAATAGATAGTGATTCAAGAGGAAGGTTTATATATATAATACATGTACACCCGTGCAAAAACGGGGCAAGTAACTAGTTTAGTTTATATAAGCTTTTTTTTAATAGATAGAGTGATTCAAGTGACAGCAATAATAATCCTGGACAATTTACACAGCGTCATCTAGTCTCAAACTAAGCAGATCCTGTGTTAAGGGTAATAGACAACTGATAAATATACTTAATTTTTTTGTAAATGTATACATACATTCATTCATTTAAGAGCTGTGCTCTTGTCGGTGGAGCTCCTGCCACCTTCCACGATCTTCTATCAGGACTCCAACTTTTTCTTTAACTTGCTTGATATAGCTGTGTCTCGGTCTTCCCCTTCCTCTCTTTCCATATATTTTTCCTTCAATAATGTTGTTAATTCGTTCGTCGTGTCGTCGCATCAAGTGCCCCAACATTTTTCCCCGCCTACATATATACATTAATTGTATGTGTAGCTATAGAAATACAATTAACCAAATTTTTTCTTGTTTACAAACAAAAGAAATTGTACAAACTTAAATCCACTTTAAGTGGTAAAAGTCTTCCTTAAAAGTTCTCAAGAGGCTCGTTTAGCTATAATTATATTTTATTAATATTACAAACGCGAAAGTTTTTGAGTGTGGATGGATGTTTGTTACTCTTTCACGCAAAAGCTTCTGAAGGGATTTTGATGAAACTTTACAGTAATTTAGCTTATGCATCAGAATAGAATAGAAAATCATTTATTCAAATAAACTTACATTGAAGCACTTTTGAATAGTCATTACATTTTTTTAATCTACCGCTCGTTGGGAAAGCTGTATCATCACAAGAAGAACGAGCAAGAAACTTGCGCGTTGCTCTTTTAAATAATTTTATTATTACTTTACATTTTTAAGTTTAAGTGTGTGAATACAATACAGAATAACATATAGGCTATAAATTTCACGACACAGCTAGTTAGAAATAAAACTAAAATAATAAAATGTTCTTTCCAGTTAAATGAAGAAGACAGACTACCACAGAACCTGTGCTGGGAGTGCACCCATCGACTGCAGTCCTGTAGGCGGCTGCGAGCGAAGGCACTAAAGAGTCACATAGCCATGATGAATGTGGTGCAGTCCAGCAGATATGTAAGATATACTAAGCAAGGGGCTGCCCTTTCACCATCGCACCACACCCCATCGACAGGGAATTCATCACCACACGCTAGAACCTAAGTGGTCTCGGACAGTGCGGTTTCAGAGGAGCTTCCTCCCGCGTACACTTACATTGTGGAATGAAATACCTGCTGAGGTTTTCTATAGAGACTACAGCATGAGGTTTTTCAATAAGGGTATATTAAGATTTCTTAAGGGTCGGCAACACGCGTGACACACCTGGTGTTTCAGTTGTCCATAGGCTACGGTAAACATTTACCATCAAATGGGCTGCATGCTTGTTTGCCAGCATAGTACCCTTGATCCTTTATTATCATTTTATCGATACAACTGGTACATAATGTATGTACACAGGCAACCTGTGAGTGTGGGAGTGACGACACATTAATTTAGATTTAGACTAGACTAGCTGTACTCGCGACTTCGTCCGCGTAGAATTTAACTTTATTTTTCTAAAATAAAAGTAGCCTAAGTAAACTTTCATTGGCGGGTAGCTGATGTAATTCAGCTACCCGCCAATGAAAGTCCCGTCAAAATCGCTATTTCAGAGATTAGCCGGAACAGACAGACAGACAAAAATTGGTGCAATTGGTGCAAATTAATTCTAAAAGTTTTTTATTTCTCAAATAATCCATAATTTATTATATTAGAACTAAAGATAGATTATAACACGAGGACGGATATAGGCTATATTTCAACTATCAGGCGAAGTAAGGTAACATTTAATATTTATATGTGTGTATTTTGTTTCAATTCAGATCACAATACATGATATACGAACAATAGACAGAGCAGCGTTAAAATCTAGTCTTGTAAAGAAAATAAATGAAGAGGACGACTTTGATATATTTATAAATGACGATGACGTTATGTTAAAAGCAGAGACAAGAGCCGACGAAGAAGAAGAAATGGCTCTCATCAAACCGGAGAGTAATGAAATAGAGAAAGAGATACAGAAGGAGAATGATGATGAGAATCTACCAATAGTTGAGATTGAAGTGAAGGATGAAAATAATGATAATGAAATATATCTAGATGAATATTTAGATTATGATTCGGAGGATGATAAGAAGTTGAGTGAAGTGTTTGTGAAGCCAAAGACGAAGGTGAAAAAAAAGAAGTTCAAGTCGGAGAAGGGGAGGGTGAAGAAGAGAGCGAGGAAGTGTGAAGATGATGACAATCCAACTGCAGCTATGGATAAGTATGTATTTTTTTATGTAATTGAAATAATCAACTAGCTTCCGTGCACCTGATTGTACGAAATAGAAATTTTCCAGGATGTCTGTAAGAAATTGCTGTTAGTGATGAGACCGTTTGTTTAACTTTTTATCATATTTTATTGTTCTTTGTTTGTCCTGTGCGCAATAAAGAGTTATTAAAAATATACAAATAAGGGGCCGTTCAAGTATTACGTAAGCACTATAAGGGGGCGGGGGGGTCTTTTCTTTGCTTATTTTGGATGACATGGGGGTGGGGGAGTCTGTATGATGATTACGTCATCGGTCGTAATTTAATTTTTTACACGAATGGCAACCCTCACATTGTCTTTGCTAAAAAAACAATACATTAATTGAGAAATGTTTACGTAAGCATGGGGGGAGGGGGTAAGAGCTTTGCTTACTTTTGCTGACAAGGGGGATGGGGGGTAAATAATTGTGATAAATCTGCTTACGTAATACTTGAACAGCCCCTAAACTCAATACAAGCACTTTTGAATAGTCATATTTTTTATTCTACCACTCAGCTGGAATTTCAGCTGAATGAGTGGTAAAACACCTCACGTATGACACGTGCCATTACCAGTGCCGTTACCATTATAATGCACTTATAGGGGCCATTCATTGATCACTTGAGGCTTGAAGGGGGGGGGGGGGATGGGGTTGACAAAAATCACGAAATATCACAAGGGGCGACAAGGTTTAGTAATACCTCACGTGTATTTATTTTATGCCAATCAAAAACAATCTGCAACCTTTCTGTCTAGGTACTAAAATACACGTGATGATAAACCTCACCACGTATCACCAAGGATGAGCAGGAGTTGATATTGCTTGAAAAAAAATCACGTGATTAATTCACGGCCCCATATCGTAATCTTATATATAAAATTCACACACAGTTTTCGTTCCCATAATCATTCGAAACGGTTTGACCAATTCTCATGAAATTTTGTGAGCGTATTGAGTAGGTCTGAGAATCGGCCAACATCTATTTCTCATCCCCCTAAATGTTAGGGGTAGTCCTCCCCTATTTTTTTTTATTTTATGTCAAAACAACGTTCGCCGGGACAGCTAGTATACTATAATTAAATATTATTTTTATTTCAGGTACAAAAACTCGGATGTGAAACGTAGAAAAGCAAGCGACGGCCTCGACGAAACTCTATTCACAGTTATAAAACTGACTTACGACGAACAGATCACTGAAATTCAGAAGCGCCAGGAGTCCTCCACTTATAAGAACGCGCCGTACAAATGTACAGTTTGTTACAGGGGCTTCCAAATACAGGACAGATATGACGCGCACGTGATACGGCATAGTGATGTAAGTTTGATTGTTATTATCATCATCAGTCATGATCATCATCAGCGCACGTGATACGGCATAGTGATGTAAGTTTGATTGTTATTATCATCATCAGTCATGATCATCATCAGCGCACGTGATACGGCATAGTGATGTAAGTTTGATTGTTATTACCATCATCAGCGCACGTGATACGGCATAGTGATGTAAGTTTGATTGTTATTATCATCATCAGTCATCATCATCATCAGCGCCAGTGATACGGCATAGTGATGTAAGTTTGATTGTTATTATCATCATCAGTCATGATCATCATCAGCGCACGTGATACGGCATAGTGATGTAAGTTTGATTGTTATTATCATCATCAGTCATCATCATCAACGTGACGACCTTGGTGGTCTAGCGGTTTATGACACTGCTTTACTTCCAGTCGCAATTTCGATTCCTCTCTCGAAGTAAACATTTGTATTCGTGAGTTTGTATTGGTCTGGGTTTATATATATTATTACTAGCTGTGCCCGGTTTCACCCGCGTGACATTTAATAATAATAATAATAATTTATTTGCTTAAAAAACACAGTATAAAAGATGGTAATTAAAACTTAGTATCATGTGTTTTGCCATAGTAATGGCATGCAAAATAGTATTGTTTAAAATTATACATAATTAACTATACAGAGAGAAATAATAATAATAATTATAATAATAGTTAAATAGGATCTCTGTAGTCGGTTTTTAGCCTAGCCTATATGTTATTCTTATGTATACACTATATAACTATAAAGTTACATCAAAATCCGTTCAGTAGTTTTTGTGTGGAAGAGTAACAAACATCCATTCATATTCACAAACTTTCGCGTTTATAATATTAACTAGCTTTTCGCCCCGGCTTCGCCCGGGTGTATATGTATTACACATACAAAACTTTCTCTTAAATCACTATATCTGTTAAAAAAAATGCTTCTAAAATCCGTTGCGTAGTTTTATAATTAAATTTAACCATACATAGGGACAGACAGCGACAGCGACTTTGTTTTATTTATACTATTATTTAGCGACTTTATTTATAACTAGCTTTTGCCCGCGGCTTCACTCGCGTTAATTTATCCCCTTAGGGGTGGAATTTATCAAAAAACTTTCTTAGGGGATGCCTACAACATAGTAGCTTTATGCATACAAAGTCTCAGCCCGATCGGTTTATAATGGACAAAGTTTCATACAAACTTTCAACCCTTATTATATCCCTTTGGGGGTAGAATTGATCAAAATCCTTTCTTAGCGGATGTCTACGTCATAGTAGCTTTATGCATACAAAGTCTCAGCCCGATCGGTTTATAATGGACAAAGTTTCATACAAACTTTCAACCCTTATTATATCCCTTTGGGGGTAGAATTGATCAAAATCCTTTCTTAGGGGATGCCTACAACATAGTAGCTTTATGCATACAAAATCTCAGCCCGATCGGTTTAAAATTGACAAAGTTTCATACAAACTTTCATCCCTTATTATATCTCTTTGGTGGTAGAATTGATCAAAATCCTTTATTAGCGGATGCCTACGTCATAACATCTACCTGCATGCCAAATTTTAGCCCGATCCGTCCAGTGGTTTGGGCTGTGCGTTGATAGATCACTACGTCAGTCACCTTTGAGTTATATATATTTAGATTTATAATACGTAATGATGACATAAAAAATAACTATATTCTGCCTAAATGAATTTAAAAAATCTGTATATATGTAATCACATACAAGCTCATTTGAATAAGACCTGAGATTCTTGTCAGTTCTTCTCATCTCGAAAGCACTCCAAATTGACTGTAGAGTTGACATATCATAAGAGTCTGTAATAGAACGAATAAAGATATTTTGATTGATAGCAAATTTTTTTTTCAGGCAAGTGGTGCTTTTGAATGCTTTATATGCAAGAGTCGACTGAAAACAGCCCGCGCACTTCGGAAGCACCTCACTGCACAGCACACAGAGAAGTTCAGTTGTAATGGATGTCCATTTGTCACAAGAAACAGGTAATGTTATATAGTAAAGTCGCGGATTCGATACCTCGCACAGTACAATTATTTGTATTCATAAGTGTGATTGTTTGTATTGGTCTGAGTGCTTGCTATGTATTTTTATTTATGGATGATAATGGAATGATGCAGTGGGAACCGCTTAGAGATCAACCTGACATATATTTTTAGCAATGGGTTTATAAATCCACATTACTATCAATGATCCTGATATGACGTAGTTTTTATTTATGGATGATAATGGAATGATGCACCTGCCTGTGCTAATGGTTTACGCTGGCGGGGCACCAGTGGAGGATGATAAGACAAGCGTGAGTTCAGGTAAGTTAGGCCATCGAGACAAATTCACCAAGAATTTAACATGATGGTTTCCAGGGGGAATGGTGTAGATGTCAAACTGATATATTTGGTACCAATCAAATTACCACACCGCCTTACTTCCGATGGTCGCGGGTTCGATTCCTCGCACGGCACAAACATTTGTATTCATGAGTATGATTGTATCAGTCTGGGTGTTTGATATGTATAATATGTATGTATTTATAAAATTTTATTTTATTTGTTAGGATTGATGATGTTGATATGATAGTGATGTACTGATGACGTCGACGTGATGGTGATGGTGATGTACTGATGATGTTGCAGGGGAGTGGCACGCGAGCACGAGAAGTGGCACGCCGGCACGCGCTACCAGTGTCCGCACTGTCCCAGTGAATTTGAGTTAGTACAAATTTGAGTTATCTATATATCTATTTAAAAAACTGCTACCAAAATCCGTTGCATAGTTTTAAAGATAGAAAGCATACGTACGGACAGACAGACAGTGACAGCGACTTTGTTTTATTTATACTACTATTTAGCGACTTTATTTATAACTAGCTTTTGCCCGCGGCTTCCTACCAACCTACATCATAGTAGCTTTATGCATGCAAAGTCTCAGCCCGTAGTTTAAAATTGACAAAGTTTCATACAAACTTTCAACCCCTATTATATCCCTTTGGTGGTAGAATTGATCAAAATCCTTTCTTAGCGGATGCCTACGTCATAACATCTACCTGCATGCCAAATTTCAGCCCGATCCGTCCAGTGGTTTAGGCTGTGTGTTGATAGATCACTATGTCAGTCACCTTTGAGTTATATATATTTAGATTTATAATATGTAATGATGAGATAAAAAATAACTATATTCTCCCTAAATATACCTGTTAGTACCAACTGAGTTATCTATATACAAATAAATAAAATTGATGTGTCTGTGAAATGCCAGGATTGACACATTCAAAAGCCCTAATATCGGGCTACTCGGACAAATACTCCAATAGACTACTGCTATTGAGTAAAAACAACATATGCGTGATGACTAGGGACCTCACAGGACACAGAAAGTTGAACAAGCATTTGGCTTACCTAGGCCTATGCACGACAAAAATCTGCAGATTCTGCCACACTGAAGAGGAAACGCCACTACACATCCAATGTGGTTGTAGCCCACTCATGCATAAACGAAATATCTCCTTTGGAAAGTTTACACTCTCTTCCCGAGGAGATAAAAACCATCGCTCTTGAGAATATCCTTCAATTCTTGTCCCTGTTGGGTCTAGCACAATAGATCTATATAGGTCGCAGTGCTACAGGTGCAGATATCTGACAATAGCCCAAACAACCCAATTACAAAAAAAAAACTGTGTTTATAATTTCAAATTTACAGCTATTTACTATATGAATTGCATTAAAGTATACTTTGAGGGAACGAGACAGATAAGTAAAATTAATAATGAAAAGCCTTGACCTATAGTAAGATTATTAATTCCAGTCAGTAAAATGACATTTCCAGTGTTGCAGGTCTTTAGTCCCAAATAAACAGTGATGTAGTAGAATCGAGTTTTTACAATTAAAAGTTAGTCGAGATTACATTTTTTTATTCAATATCAATTTGCCTTTATATAAATAAAAATTCTATATAAGTATTAATTCCTCTGAATCTCTTTTTACATTTTTTTCCAGCTTTTGTAATAATGTTGTAGTGAGAAATTTTAATATGCTGGTAAGGTCCATATTTCTAAAATCGTATTATTTAATACGATATGTATTAAATATTCAAAATAAAAAAAAAAGGTTTTGATACCTAATAAAATAAGGCGTGACTAAATATCTAAGTCTATTGATTGCTGAACATCACTATTGTAGCGGGTCAGCCTCTTTTGTATCAGTGACAGTTGCACGTGTCATTTTACTGACTGGAATTAATAATAGTACTTTAGTTTAGGTTCATTGGAATAAAAGTCAGATAGACAAATAACATTTTATATTACAATAAATGTTCAAATTGTTTACCAATTTTACCATCGTACCGCTCGCCATCGACAGGGAATTCATCCCCACACGCTGGAACCTAAGTGGTCTCGGACAGTGCGGTTTCAGAGGAGCTTCCTCCCGCGTACACTTAGATTGTGGAATGAACTACCTGCCGAGGTTTTCTCGAGAGACTATAGCATGGGGTTTTTCAAGAAGGGTATATTAAGGTTTCTTAAAGGTCGGCAACGTGACAGCCCTGGTGTTTCAGGCGTCCATAGGCTACGGTAACCGTTTACCATCAGATGGGCCGTATGCTTGTTTGCCACCTAAGTGGTATAAAATAAACCAATACACGCCCTACAGGGGATTGGGGATTAGTAACGTGTACTAATGATCCCATTGCTAGCAATGTACCATATCAGGTTGACGTCCACGCGGTTCCCCCTGGATACCATCGTGATACATTCCCGGTGAATTTGTCACGTTGGGCTAACTGATCTGACTTCATGTTCATCCTATCATCATCCACTGGTGCCCTGCCAGCCTAAACCGTTAGCGCAGGCGGGTGAAACATTACATTATCATCCTTACTCACTAAAATGTCCAGACTTGTGGCGGCGTGGTGGGCCGGGTCATCTAAAATATGGTCGAGCGCAGTGGTGGCTGGCTCATCCTCGTCATACTCGTGAACGAGTGCTGCTTGTGTGACTGGTCTGCTCTAATCACTATGACTTATTTTCTCTTATTAATTGTTTAACCAGTTGTTGTATATTGAATGTTTTTTCTATTTTATTATTTCATTGAATTAGTGCTAATCGGTGGTTTGTATTCACACACTTAAACTTAAATTGTAAGTAAGAATGAATTATTTAAAAGAGCAACACACAAGTTTCTTGCTTGTTCTTCTTGTGATGAGACAGCATTCCGAATGAGCGGTAGATTAAAAAAAAAAAAATGTTATGACTATTCAAAAGTGCTTCAATGTAAGTTTATTTGAATAAATGATTTTATATTATATTCTATACTTTAAAAAAAACACGTCCTGCATCTTGAAAAAGATCTACTTATTAGTCGGGCATATCTATCTGTCTCGCTCCCTCATGGCAAGCATGTCCACTATCCATCTCTCTCATCATTTTCCCGTGAAATTAAGAACTACCAAGAGCTTGTGCGAATAAAAAACATTTGCACCGAGTAAAAATCGGGGTACTTGAGGTTTTAATATTTTTACTTTTTTTTTATACGCAACTAGTTGAACGATACCGAGTAATAATGAAACTACCTTCTTTTAATATTAAATATCAGATTTTTCAACAATATCGATGTGAACCCTAACAATAGATAGCTAGATAAATTCTTTATTCACAATTACAGACACATAACATACATGAGATACAGAAAAAACACGAATTAATAAAAGAAATGTAGGTGACTTTATGTGCCGCAAAAGTGAAAAGGCAGCCAACTCAGCATAAAGCTACTATTAAAAATCATCGAGAAAATTAAATAATTTCTTTTTAATAATGGGCTTATCATTATTAAAAAGAAATTATTTAATTTTCTCTTGAGTCACCAAAATGAGTTATAACTGTATTGCATTATATTAGTACAGTGGACCCGCGGTAATCCGGCCCCTGTCTAATCCGGCCCCCCTTGTAATCCGACATTGTCTATTATTTGTTATTGAATATTACTTTGACAATATACTTCAGAGTGCATATACATACATACATATACAACATAGAATCTTATCACTGGATCTGTAATTTGTCGGATTACAAGATACTCTTTTGTAAAAAATTCCGGACTATAAGCAGAGGACCCTTAAGCAGCACTCTATAATCCGACAAATACGATGGTCCGACACTGCCCTGCAAAATGTTTGTCGGATAACCGGGGGTCCACTGTATATGTATATAATATAAAGAATCATCATTGGATCTATAATTTGTCGGATTACAAGGTACTCCTTTGTAAAAAAATTCGGACTATAAGGGGTCTTAGGCAGTACTATATAATCCGACAAATTCGATAGTCCGACACTGCCCTGCAAAATGATTGTCGGACTACCGGGGGTCCACTGTATTATATTTAGCATTAATGTATAACATTATATAATATCAGGTATACTATATATATTTAATTTTGAACTGTCGTGTTTAATATACATTATTTAAATTATTAACCGGGTCTTAACACGAATAATTTTATGGCAAATAAAGGTGATAAACCTCTCACGACGTTTCGACTAGGTTGCACTATACTATATATATTATTAGATGTATATATTTATTTGCATATCATATATATTATATAATATTTATTAGTAATCTTGTGATTGATTTTTGACATAACAGGCCCACAATGCTTTCTGTATACCTAGAGGTTAGCTGGCGGAGAATGCTATACGACATTAAACTTGCCTTTGTACAAGTTTACAAATTATATTGTGCATTAAAGAATAAATAGAAAAATTGTTTATTTGTCTACAGTAAGCTAACTACATACATGGGTCACATACGCATCAAACACGTGTCGGATTTCGTGTGTGAACTGTGCGGGTACACGTTTGTGAGTAAAAAGGGCATAGATGTACACAAGAGGAAGAAACACCGAGTGGCCAGAGACAAGCCGGTATGTTTTTTTCTATACCAGTAATAGCATTAAATAATACATACAGCCCTAAAGTTACACCCTTCTATTACAAACCCTTATTTTTCAATAATGTTTTGATTTTACGGCATCACGTTTGCGGTTTATAAATATTTATATATTTGAGTGTATAAATTCTTTCTCTATATTTCTTCAGCTAATATTAGTAGGTATAGATTTTATAAAATATCATATATTATACTACAGGTGCCATTGGAAGGTCCGTACTGCGCCGTTTGTGATGTAACTTTTGTGTCTGAAGAGGCGCACTCGAGGCATTTGAAGTTATCATCGAAGCACAGCAGTGACAATGATCCGTAAGTTGTATTCAAAACCGATTGTAAAAGCGGGAGGTTCTCCATTCGACTGTTTTACAATTTATTTTAAGTGATGTGGTATTTATCTTTATTTATTGGGATCGATTCCTCGCACGGTGTAAACATTTGTATTCATGAGTATGATTGTTCGTATTGGTCTGGCTGTTTTCTATCTATATTAGTGTGTATTTATAACTAAAGTTTTAAGTATTTATATCAGTCGTCTAGTACCCATAACACAAGCTCTGCTTAGTTCTTGACTAGATCATGCTGTGCGATTTGTCCAGGATATAAGGATTTTAAGTTATTTTTGTTTATTTAATTGTTACAATGTATTAATATATGTTGTCTGGACATTTAAGTGAGCATGAATGACTCATGATACTAATATCTGTATGTATGTCTGTAACGCAATGACGGGTGAGCAAGCAGCAATTACTGCACTCAACCATATTATGGGGACCCCGATGTCCCCTTCACTCCACTTGCCTGAATAATAGAATTT